CATGTCACCTTTCAAAAATAGAGCACGTCCTATTTTCGTCTGGTGTTCTGTATCATTTTTTTTCGCCTGCTTGTCAGACCGAAGTATTAACAGATGGTAAACAGTACAGCAAGCTGTATTATTGTTGAAGCGAACATCCAGTCCATGTATCGTCAGCATAATGCTAGAAGAAACTGTCATACAAAGACAAATCCTTCAAAGCAGGAGAAGAATATAAGAGCCTAAGAGTGGGAACAACAGGACTTAGAAAACTGAATACTGCCCTTAAGTCTGAATCCGAATGTCTATCTTCAATCAATTCCTTTTGTTTTACGAGTCCTCCAAAACTAACCCCAACCCCAAAAAATAAATTTCATGTTCAAATCCACTACGGTTAATCATAAAACTACTGAAAGTCTGTGTTATATATAAAAGGGAAAGACAACAACCTAACCTCACAAATGAAGACAATGTTTACGTGAAGTATGTAGCGTACAACCCTCTGGCCTGATTCAATTCAGACATTTCTGAAACTATGAACCCTTTTAGACACCTGTTAACTCCTTGCATGAGGAATCAGTAGATCGCAACGCTTCTGTCTGCAGAGAACAGCACAACGCAGAGGAACAAGGCATATTTCCATGTAGCATGTGAGACTCGAACCAAAGATCCTTATGTTAGAGAGATCCACGTACAAAGATACAACTTTCCATGTATAATTTCTTACAAATACGCCTACGTAAATGTTGATGCTACTGCTACAATCATTTGTTCGAAATTTAGGGTTATCATGATGGTTCGAACGTACATCTATGTCAAATTATCTATGAAAGCGAACTTGCTCAAAAATTAATGTTGTCTTATGTCAGGGTATCCCTTGCATAATATAGTCGATATCCGACCGAGACCAGAACTCGGAACGAACAGTACATTCGTTGGCAGCTGAATATGAAATTGTCACTGTTCCTACACAAACGACGTTTAATACATGGACATAAACTCGGGACACATTACGGCGACAGGTTTGAAGATGACTGTCTTCTAGGATGTTACACTTTGCTGTTTGGTAGAAACTGACCGACGTTTCAGAGGTACAATACATAATTTCTTTACGAGAGTATTGGAATAACAGGCTAATTTAATGTGACAAAGACAGGACAGACGTTTTCACATTAAATTGGAATGGTCTTCGTGTCGCACTCTCGTCAATATATTCACTTTTTGCCTGAACAATCTCCAAACGACGAAAAATGCAAGAAAAACAACTTCTCCAATTATTACGAGCCACAGCAGCCCCATACTGTGTCGGAACGGTTCCGCATTCTTCTTCAGGTCGTTCACACTAAAAGAAACATTTGTTACATACGTGTACGTATTATTCAGAATACTTCCCTAAATCTCGTGCTCAGACGGATTCCGCGATATTTTTATCGCGAAATGGAGCTACAGGAATGTGGAACGCATGGTTCAGAACACACTACTCCCTCTCCCGTCTTATGCGTGTGTATAAGCGTGCTAAGCAGATTTCTCGCAAAATTCTATCGCTTCTAGATTACTGTCTGCAACTTTCTTTCGGCGCCAAACGAATTTTAGAAGATAATTTTCTCCAGGATGCGCGGTTCATAAACTAACAGTCTCTTTTTACAAATATGGAACACGTGCGCATGGTGTTACATTTAAAACACAGCCCTAACCTATACACGTGAACCCCTTCATGTACAAATAGTTAAATAAAACATTAGTGACAAATTCAGTAACATAGGTAACATTTAACTCTCTCTCTCTCTCTCTCTGTGTAATCTAACCTAACCTGATCAACACCAACACCAAAACTCGTCACTGAACACCCACCTCCCATCTACGTAACACAAATAGCCCCACATCTATCTTAATGTTATCCTCTCATCTCCCTCTCGATATCCACTTACCAATTCAATTCCCACCTAAGTCTTTACGCACTTCTCCCAATTCCAGCTATATGGCCAGCCCATCAGAACTTCCTGGATTTTACTGTCCTGACAAATAAATTGTAATGTTTCGTGGCATGTACTAGGCCTATACAAAATATGAAAAGCAAGTTACTTAATTCAGTTCAATATGGAGAGAAACCAATCCCAAAATGCTACTTTTTTTTCGTTTCACATATATTTTAGCTTAAAACAGGTACTTCTATACAAAAATAAAGTACAATACAAGCCCACATATTTATGTAAAGTAAAAGTAAAGTTTGTCCCACTATACGCCATGTAGGCGTTTGGGGTGAGTGGAGGTATAGCTCCTCTCTTCCTTGACCTCGGCACTAGATGGGGGTGAGTGGTCAGCATCACGCCCCGGCCGGCTTTACCCCCGGGAAAGGACCCCGGTACCCATTGTAGAGGAGGCTGGGTGGGCCCCAGAGCCGGTCTGGACGCAGAGGCTAGAGGAAAAATCCTCTGCCCCCGTCGGGGGTTTCGAACCCCGGTCGCCCAGCCCGTAGCTAGTCACTATACTGACTGAGCTATCCCGGCTCATCACATATTTATGTACCGGTATTATGACCAGTGTCAGTGGGCTGGTCACTCACTACTCACAATTCAAAGACCAAGAAACCTCCGTAGAGGCGGCCAAGACCCACACCTGGTTGTAGAGCCACTGATGATTTATGGCCAAAATCACGCTACATACCAGAAAGTACGCCTTTTCAATAGCCTTTGTCTCCTTCTTCCTATTTCTTTACTTACTGTTTATTCCAGTAGTACGCTCACATTAAGTATTCCGCACACGTTCTTTTCAGTACATACGAGGTGCGGTCGGAAAGTTTCAAGACTGTGTCAATAGAGGGCGAACCGGGTATAGTACGAGCTTCTGCCGCTAGGGGGTGCGGCCTACATTCATAGTGAATCAGTGTGCCAGCCGGCATCATCGAATTAGCATTTGTTTCTTAGTTACGGGCGTTTTGGTAGTGCATTACACCGACCCTCCTGCGATTTCGGAATGGCGGATTTTCATGAACAAATCAAATTTTGCCAAAGACTCGCCAAAACGGCTACGGAAACCTATGAAATGCTAAAGCAAGCATTTGGGGAGTCCGCAATGGGTCGTGCACAAACTTTTGTGTGGCATTCACGTTTTAAAAATACGTACTTCATGTTTCATTTAGGTTGCATTCTAATCGGATCTTAATGTAAGTGGTGAATGATGTCTCGGAAGAAAGGTTAAAACGTTATAAACCGAAAAAATTAGGGAAAAAATAATTAGCGAAAAAAAGAACTACAAGGCTGTAGTACACGAGACGGTGAAAACGGTATCCCACTTTGGAACACAGCCATAAGTTCTCTTTACTTTTATTTACATAAACCAGTTTAATTTAGTAACATGCAATGTACGCATCAGTTATAAATTCAACTCAGACGTCTTACCTATTAACATCTATTTCTGTTCCCAATAAAGTTAAAAGAGGGTACCGCTCACACATGTATGGAAGATGAATTGAAATTCGGTGAATATTTGAATATGCACTTCCAATTATAGTATCTTTAATGAAACTTTTTCAACATCACGGGAAAAATGGCACCGAGAGGTATGATCCCGAGTTATGAATTAGAAAGACGAAAACTGCCACGAAATTTAACTTAGTAAACTGTTAAATTACACTTTACGGTAATGGAGAATATAAATGAATGAAGAATAAAGGAATCCAACATTTTTCGTTCCATCAAACATGACTTAACATGGAATTGTATTACAGTGCAGAATAACTAAATTCAAATGCAATGTAATTATATCCTTTTGAGATGGATGCCTCACTGACAACTGTAACTTTTACGTATTAGTTCCAGAAATTATTTTTAATCAAAATGCATGAACACCGCTATAATCGAATCTAATCAGATATCTGAACGACGTATTTTGAATGTAAGAGATGAAGAAACACAAAGCGGTAGTCCTGTCATAGAAAACATCAGTAACTATCGAGGTAAAATGTCTTGAGTTTCGCTATAAATAAATAAAATGTCAAGGACAGATGGTGCCTCACGACAAGAAAGTCTGTGGAGGCACAACATACCTTGAAGTTATTTTGATCAAAGACCATACTGAATTTCACTCTCAGGACAAGTGATGAATATATTTTTCTTATACAGTACAACAGTTCATTGTGGAATTATTGATGACGAAAGGGTAGGACTCAAAAGATTGTTTCATTAACATGACAGATCATTCATCAGTAAATAAGAGACTCCAAACCATTTTTCGCTACAAAGACGAGCTCACCATATGGCCTACTGCCTTCTAATGTTCAAAAACGACATCTAGAAAGTTATATTACAAGAATATAGTACATAGTACCTTCAGCAGTCAACAGGAAAACTATCAAAGTTTTGTACATACCTCACAAAGACTCGGTATGTGTTCTGCAAGAAACGCGGCAGATGTCGAGACGGTGAACAGACTCGTCCCAAACTTTGCGCGGTGTCCCCAGCGTTGGAAGCTAAGGCAGTTTTGATCTGCTTCAACTCTGGTAAAGATCGCGGCGTAAATGGATACTCGACCGCGTCGTTCCATGTGGAAATGTGTGTGAAATCCATGTCGAACGGCTTTTACACATTGCTCCTTAGCTAACGCAGAACACACCAACTCCTCTGTTGTGGGGTAATTATTTTCAAAAATAGTGGCCCCTAGTGGAGGCACAACATCACCTGGGACATATGAAACAAACTTAAAGAGTTTTTCTATTGGCCGTTGTGGGCGTGAAGTTCTAAGTATGCAGAATTTGTTTTCTCTGTCATTTTGAATGTTTTACGTTCTTTTCTGCTCACCCTGTATTATAATGATCACAAAAAATTAAAGAAGTTTCAGTATCAAGTACGCTGATCCCGAGTAGCGAAATGATCCACCTACTTACGACTGGCGGGGAAAAAAACAATGTCAAGGGGGGTGGGAAACAAATGTTTTAACCATTTTATTTTAATATTTAAAAAATTAAAATAAATATCTTATGTATATGGAATCCTTGGAGACTGGAAATAGGAATTAGGCATCTCTTATATTAATGAGAGACTATTTATTCTCCACCTACGATCAAGAGATAAATATAGTAAATAAAGTAACGACACACTAAACTGCATTTTTAAAATTGCCGACACTCATGAGATAACACAGAAATCGTGTCTTTGGTTAGCAGATTACATCAAATTCTTTGATATAATTAACAACACTAGGCATAACCATACATTATTTTCAAAGAAGTCAAGTCCAGCGTTAATTAAATAAAAAAGATATTTCAGACTCTCACAAAATTTGGTTAATTAAATAACGATGATATTTCAGACTCTCACAAAATTTGCTAAAGAGCATAAATATCCACTCAGCAATCACACGCCCAGTCACAAATGCAAATGCGGGATAACAGTCGTAGCAATCACTGCAGCAGGAGCAATAATTCACAAATCACTCGTTACTTGTTCATATTTTCCGCTCGTTTCAACGCGTCTTCCATAGACATCGGAACAAAGAGCACGCATTTTCCACAAAGGTAAATCATACATTCATATGTAAGATTTGGGGTTTTCGCAGCGGTGAGTATGAAGATTTCTGTCTTCTGGGTTGTTGCGCTGTGTAGTCTGGTCGATGTTTACCACGTTTCTGAGGTCATACTGCTTCCGTCATCAGGGCGAAACAATCCAGAAGACAGAAATCTTTATACATTCATACATGACATGCCTCTCATGTCGGTAAATTTAACAAGGATTGTGCGACAATAAATAAAAGCCCTCAATGCAGGAAACTTAACAAAAAGGTATATAAAGACAGGACGTTCACGCAGTTTACCATCTACTTGAGTGTGCCAGTGAAAGTTCACTAATATAATTCTAATCAGTGCATTACCGTATTCACGAGAATTTTCTTAAATCCTAGTAACGTTCTACAAAATTCGCACTTTGCATCAGTTACAATTTGCACGATGGTTTGGTGCTTCTAAAATAAGTTAAAACGAGTATTTACAGAACAGCTTATGAGATTTTAAACCATTCGAAAGACACATTCCACACGATCAGTCTTGGTGAAAGGCTTCTTCCTCAAAAAACTTGATGAATGTGCGTGTGATGGTAATAACAAGAAAAATCACAACACTTTTATAACTGGATGTTCCTTTGGTACAATCGCTGACATGTTTCAGTTTAAAGTTACGTCACAAACTGTAATGGAACTTAATACTGCAACATTATTTCTTATTTCATTCCAGTAACTGAAATAAATGCTTCTGGTGGTTATAAATTAAAGTTACACAGAAATCCGTAACAATCCCTCCTTCAAAGTATCTCAAATTCTTCATATTCCAGTTCATCATCAGTTTCAACGTTCACAGCACCGTATCTGAGAGTGTCGTCAGAGATAGTAAATCTGTTGATTCCCATCACATCGCTACTTCGTCCTTCACAGAACACAAACATAGGATATTCTGCTTTCTCGTGAGGTGGCACCAAAAACTGAAATATCACAGTTCAACATTATAATAATAAAAGATCTCAGTAACAATAAGTGAAGTTATCAGATAAATCTGGAAAACATTCACAGAATTTAACGACACAGTTCTTGGTTGTGACACCACGTAGACTTATAGGCAGATGCTGACATTTTGAAGAAACATACTCCATCACCCGAATGACAGAGCCAATAGGAACCTTGAAACGTTAATCAAATCCTATCGAACCACGTAGCACAAGATCCCAAAAGTGTCATCTTCAATTGTTAGTCATCCTGCCCTTTTGTTGACTGCCTGCAGTCTAGAAATTACTCTCCTCCGAGTCTTTACATGCTCAGTACGTCTCCTTGTAAACGGTGCATTTCAGTAAATATCCCATTTATCTTTACAAATTGCTGTTACGTCTTTTCCTGTGTGATGGACATCACACTCTCAGAGGCATTACATCAAACACACCAAATATCCCTTTATAATAATCTAAAGATAGCTGTCTTCTTGGTTGTCGCGCCGTGTATCTGGTAGACTTTACTGTCATTTCAGAGGTCCTTGCTGCCCCCATTATCAGGGCGATAAGAAATTCACTGATGATGGAGGCAGCAAGGACTTCTGAAACATAGGTAAACTTCTAGCAGACTACAGACATCTTCAGACTCGATGCCACAAAAACATCAAATCCTGCATAGAAATATTCTATGTTCAGTCATTCAGACACACACACACACACACAAACACAAAAAAAAACACAAAACAAAACAACAACAACAACCCTGGAAGGAAATTAATACGAAATATGCCTGCTTACCTGTTTTACATTCTTCATAAATTTGTAGAAGTCATCTCGAGTTCTACAGTAGAACCCAATGCAACATGAAGGGTCTAGTCTAGAAAGATTCATCTTCCGTGGAGATCTGCAGTGAAAGCTCAACAGAGGGAAATTTGGTTGCCATACATCAACCACTTCTTGACAGTAATGAGGATCTAAGTGGATGAGTTTATCATCTGCAACATTTAAGTCATTCCGACTTGCCGAAGTACTTTTACTTACAGACATTCATTTCAATAACTTCTGACAAGTGACAACATAATGCAATAATGTTAAATGTGCTGAATTCTGTGGATTATAAGGAATTCCTTGTATAACTCATGAACCCCACTTTCTTACTGCCAAGATGTCCATAGCTACAAACAGCTTTTTATTAATTCTTCTCTGGCTACCAGCCATGTCAGTTGGTTAAATGGAGAAAACACCAACATATCGAGAACCATCTTTGTCTTTGTCCTCAGGTTACTGAAGTTGTAGGAAATCCTGTCCATGCTCAATATACACCTGCCCCAAATCTGTATCATTGGATACACGTTCGCCAATCTCCTACAACTTCAGTACCCTGAGGATGAGGAAGAAAATGGCTCTCAAAACGGTGTCTTCTCAATTAAACCACCTGACATGGTTGGTAGCCCTAGAAGAATTCATTATACTGGGTGCGGCAGAGGAAACGCATGTTTTTCGAATGGCTAGTACTCGGCAAGGAGGAGGGTGGGGGATTTCCGCCCCTTGCTAGTAGACAGCTTAGGTGATGCAGTTTCAGTAGCCATGGCACCGTGGACCTGTGAGCAGGATGGTGTCATGGCACACACGGCGAGAGCATCGATGCAGGAGGTTCGTGGCATGTTTCCCCAACACGTCATCTCCCGTTTCGGTGATATCCCTTGGCCACCTCGCTCCCCTGACCTGTCCGTATGTGACTATTTTTTGTGGGGTTACCTCAAATCAAAGGTCTACAGAAACAAACCATGCAACATTCAGGAACTGAAAGATTCCATTCACCAGGAAATCGCTACTGTGGGGGAAGAAATGTTGGGAAGAGCAATGCAGAATTTCGAGGAGAGGCAGCAAGAGTGCGTACAGAAGGAAGGGCGTCACTTGACGGACGTCATTTTTCGAAAGTAATTCAAAAATGTTCAACAAAAACTGCATTATAAAACCTTTCTTTTTGTGTAATTAAATTTTTTTTAACTTGAAAATCAACTGAGTTATTGTTATTTGAAAAACATGCGTTTCCTCTGCCACACCCGGTACTTAGTTAAGTGAAAGCTTCAGATCATAAAACCCGTGTTGTTTACATTATATACAGATAACTTAAGTTTAAAATCTAACAATAAAATATAATTCTGCATATGGATTAGCATGCTGGGCAAGATTAAAGCATGCTCAAGTCAGAAAACTTCACTGCTTGCAACTGTAAATGCCATACTATTTGTAGTGTGTAATAGATGAAATACATGAAAGTTAAAAATCAGTGAAGCAACTTACCTTGAAAACCAACAAAATAAAGTGAATGTTTTGGACGACCACCAATAATTCCAATGCAGTTCTCCAAAGTGAGTACAGCTGTTAAACATGGCCCATAAACAGAGTTTAACTTTTCAACACCAAGCCTAACAGGCACTAGAAGAATGAGAGCCCTCCATGAACACGTGGAATGTAACGACTGAGATGGAGCTTGTGGTTTTGTTTGTGGAATATCACACAGGTCCACAATGTCTTGGATATAAACTAAAAATTGAACAAATAAAATTACAATTATAAATTTCAACATAAAGTATGTTGTATCTGGCCTGAATATAGCAAACATTATTTCAATTTTTAACAGTCGTCCATCACCAGTAATAATATCTGGAAAACTTAAATATCAAATGCTAACCATAAATTAAACTTATAAGTACAAATATTCATCTGACCCAATCAAATTAATGTTAAATCTTGTGGTGTGCCTTTTCCCAAGTTACTGTTGTTGGTGTTGGCGGTGGAGTTCATAAACTTGATCCTTTATCTCTTTCTGTGTGTGCACTGCCACCAACTTTCTGCGGTTCAAACGAGTTATATTATGAAAGTATGTTTACCATTTATGGACAAAGTCCACAGATTTCTATGATGCCGCTACACCACTGCCACAGAACATTAGAACCACACAGCTTAGTACAAATTTCCAATAAAAACAGTGAGAAGTCGCAGCTGTACTACGGCATGGTCTTTTTACCGCACAATCACTACTCCACTTCCCGCATGACTATTTCATAACACCAGAATGTTTAAACTTTTTTAATAATTTGTTAAGCAGGATTTGAGGTTTTCATAGCAGCGAGTCTGAAGTTTACTAGCAAATTTCTACCAGGCTACACGGCGTTACAACCCAGAAGACAGCCATCTTCCAATCATTTTTATTGGAAATAAAAGACAGACAGCCCAAATAATCTCTCTAAATATGCTTTCATAACTGTTTTATCATTTTAGAAATGTGTTTCTATTATGGTAATGAATGGGAAAAGGCATAAAATGAAGTCATGAGACTACATCAGAGGTCAGTGTTGGAACGTTTCCTACTGCCAATGTTCTATCTGCATTAATACTTCTGGCTAACAACATAACATGAAATATGAGAGTGGCCATTAAGGGGACATGTCAAACACAGGGTGAAAGATCTGTCTGCACTACTTCCTGTATGTCAATACAAGTGAGAGCCTTGGACAGATTATTTCATGCCAAAATCCTTACTCAGTTTCACATCAGAAAAATGACACACGGCAGCCAATCATGTTATGTATATGCATTTCCATAAGAAAATAAACCTTCAGAAAAAGGAACCAAATTTGTCTTCAACACGGTCAACAAGAGAAGATAAAAAACAAACTGGATCTAAAGGCTTCACACATTCAAATATATTAAAGAAAGATATATCTAAACACCAGCTCATTTATGATGACTAAAAAAAACATTACCCAAATACCTGAAAAATATATTGCAAATAAATGAAATAGCAAACACAACTACAGAAGATACAGAATCACAAAGACCAGACCTCAGAGATATCTTCTGAAGAAAATGTCTAATGTTCTGAACAAACTACAAGAGGACAAAGAATTGTTAATTCCTGCACTAGAACATTATTCCACTTCTAAACTACATATTTCTGTTTATTAAAAAAGTGATACCTGCACAATCTTGAGCCACATAAACACACAGATGCTCAAATTCTTTGTTTTCCTTGGTAGCCAATTCTACTGCTTGCCTGGAAGAAAATAGTCAAAACATAAATTAATTCACTTATTTTCTTCGGGAAGAAACCAACTTCCTGTTATTATACATCTGTATCACCATACCAAGTTCTTTTATTCTGTAATTTCTTAAAAATTTCAAGAACCAAAACAATGTTTCATGCATGTGCGACAGACAAAGATGTTAACATGGGCAAAGGATATCAGACAAAGAAACTTATGAAAGAATTAACAAAGAGAGCACATACTGCAGGTGTGCAGGAGCACAAACAATACACAGCACACTTTCATAAATGACAAATAACAAATGCACAGAAATATGAAGTCTATCGGTCAGCCAGCTGTCAAACACTTGTAACTAAAAATTGTATTATTTGAGGCAAAAGTTTAAATAACTGATTATTTAGATTGATAAAATAATGCCAGAGGATAGCAAATAAACATGTCAATAAAAGTGAAAGAGGTGATGCCTGACATGATGTTTGGTAAGAAGTCAACCAAATATTCCATAAATGTGAGAATATGATTTGGTACAAATTATAGCCTTGAAGATGTCTTTCAAATGCAGTGTATTACTGTCATTCAAGTCAAAAATATCAGCTTAACTATGATATAGCTCAGATTTATTTAATCAAACTCAAATATTTAGATGGTGTGATACACAGTTAAAACCCCAATATGAATCCAAAAGAAAAATATTAGTGATTAAAAAAACACCTGAGTAAATGGGAGACAGATCCTGGTCCATACCAATCACCAACCCTCTTCCCTGATGCCTCACCAAGTGTGACTAACATGTGTATTGAAAATGGACTGTTGCATGACGGATTATCTCCAAACCACTTAATAATTTTTCGATGACATTTATCTTCATTATATTGCCTAGCTGTTGTAAGTTTCTGATCATACCATCTCCAGCCTGAAAAATTATATTTTAATATTAAACAACGTACAACATACACCAAACACACACACACATCATTATTTTGAAAGAAAGAGCTGTCAAATCATATTTCCATTGAAAAATAATGAAAATTAAATCCAGCTGCCATAAATTTAAATAAAGATTTTAAAAAAAGTAAAAGCTGTCCCACTATACACCATGGAGGCGCTTGGTGGGGAGAGCGAGTACAGCTCCAACTCATTCTAGCTTAAAAGAAGAAAATATACGTATGTACCTCGTCCTAAGATATGACAAACTAGCCCTTGAGCCAAGAGCATCTGTCCACTGCGAAGCATGCAACCCCAACCACAATCAGTGGTGAAGCTGGAACCATTAAGATTAGGAAATTCCCTTCTGTATGTAAGCCACACACGGCTGATGAAATCAGTCTTGAAACCTTCAATTCCCTCTCCTTCATTTCCCTCATCTGACTGTGATGATGCTTCTATTGTCATTTTCCGATGATAACATTTCCCTAGCAGCCACACTGGTGAGTCCTTGGAGAAGTTGGTTTTCAATTTCACTGTCCATCCTAAGTAATAACAAGTTAATATCTTAGAAATGGCTTAATAAAACAATGTTCACAATCAGTAGAGTCCTAAAATGGTGAAATGCTGTCCACTTCCTTTCTTATACACAGGGGTGAAATTACAAGTTGCATTTGTTACACAGTCAAAACTAAAGAAGTAGTAAATCTGTGGAAAATCAATGGGTGATTGACTCTTGATTTTTAAGATTTAAGGTTTTCACTGCAGTGAAAATATGTCACACCTCTGAGATATTCCTCCGAAACATTGGTATTTATCTATAAGTCCCCACAGTGTCATAACCCAGAAGGCCAACAGCAACTCCTGGTTTACTTGACAAACACCACATCAATTGCCTAGTTGTATACCATCAAATGGCAGGATGATATGTAAATGACAAATGGGCAAAATCAGAAAGAAAGTGTCTGTGATCTACTGTGAGGTATTTTCCAAAAAAATTTCTGAAAGGACCTACAAAAAATTCAAGAAACATAAGTCAGGACAGTTGGCCACCAGCCAAGAATCAAGCTGGAACAATTAGGACACATTATGGCTATACTGCATTGCTCATTGATATGTGGAAAAAGCAGTCACAAGTTTCACAATGAAGTCTTTCCTCATACAAACAGCTAAAGGCAGAGACAGTCTTCAAGACACTGGAAACTAATCCCATTCTCATTTGCCTGATTGCATGAGAAGACTTCATTGCAGTCAGTTACCATTCATCCTTCAGATCTTACACACTCATAGCCTTCTTCCAGTCATATCCTGAATATTGAAAGGAAGAACTCCGGAAAATCATGTAAACTCTACAGAGAAAAGCCATTCCCCTACCGAGATTCAAAAATGCCACCTGACTAAATTACATAAATTGCCTCATGAACTTGTTTAGTATGGACTAGTACTGTACATAACTAATGATGATATAAATACTGATAGACATGTTACAGGCCAGGACCAAGTTTATTGGTACTGCGGAAATGAATTTGGTACTACAGAAATATATGCAGTCTCAGTCTGCTGCCCACAGTCGGGTTAAGGATTAAAACACTATTTTACAATTTGATCTTTTGGTACAATTAAACTCATAAATAACACAGATGCATAAGGCAATTAAGGTAGTGCCAATATGATTAAAATTCATACTATGAAAGCATACAGGCAACCTCCACCTTCAATATTTATTTCTAAAGCCACAATTTCAAAAGTTTTTAACAATAATTTTTAACACTGCATTATTACACCATTATATACCCCCCACCCACCTTCAATACACAATTAAATTTAAATTAGCTAGCTAACATCCCTGCAAGTGTCAAACGCTGCAGGGTCAGAATAAGAAACTGTTTCACAAATAAACTTAATACATTTAAAGAATAAGTAACGTAATCCTGCAACATATCAGAAGTGCCAAATTACCTACTGAGTTTCGAATGCTCGTATCGATAAATGGTGACCGAGTGTAACAGGTCACGAAATTGGTCCATTCTCTTCCATAATCTTTCGGTATTCTGCTAAACAGGTCAAATTTTCGTGTTGCATCTCTTCTTTATGGTGTTACTAAAGTGAAGGCAACACAAACTTACCGTATTTCACATTGTTCCACATTGACAATAGTTTTGTTTTAACTTTCCCTTCTCCTTCTACGCAAACATTTTCTTCCTCCAGTTCTCGTGAATGTGCACCATGGTCACCCGTTTCTCGCTTAGTCCTAAATATGTTTCTGGTTTCAGCATTCATTTTCTTCCTAAAATTTCCATGCTTATTAAGTTACCACCAACATAGGCCACCGAACCGACCTCTGCACCTCCGGGAACAAACAAACCACACTCAACATAACCAACAATAACCGAGCAAGCTACACCACCTGCCAGCACATAGCGTAACCATGATTCGCATCTCAGTTACAATTGTTGGTAACGTAGCTCCGTTCGTTCTGTGTTGCACCCTGTGACCGATTCACATATAAACATAACGGCGAAGTGACAGGACCCCAGTCGGTAAGAAGGTCAACTACTCTTCAACCGTCAAAATTCTCCCTCTATCGGCTGGTACTCATTGAAAAATTTGAAACCCTGATATCGTAAGTGATCTAGCTAACAGTTAGTTAACACACCATTCTGTAATAATGGAGCTGTGAGGAAAAAAGTTTGAAAGAAATCACTGCTCAAAAAACTCCAGTACATCCATTGCGTCAAGGCACTTCTCCATTGTCAAAGAAACATATTTTCATACTGGCTTTAAAAAAAATCCTAGCTGCTTTGAAGTGAATTCCCACCATTATGACAAAACTTAAAAATAATGCTAATGTACCCTAACTGTAATTTGTAAATTTGATTTGCCAGACTGTAATCTGTTTAAAATCATAAAGGACTACATTGGAAGGCAGCCCCTGTTCTTTCATTTTAGAAAGGACTTCTGTAGAACGGAAGAGGTATAAGAAACAAATTCACAATTAGGACCAATTGAGGGCTGTTATATACAAAGTTCACAGACATAGAATAGATATAAGAATTTTCTTGATTGGCTGAGTAATTATCAGCTAAGTTAGTTTATCATAGTTCTTAGTCAGGAAGGTGAAAGTAAATTACATATTTCACTGCAATATTGTAAATGGCCTGTTATCCATTTCTTAGTTAATAATTACTTTCCCTGCTGACAAACCATGTTGGAGAAAAACTTATAACTGGTTGCATACTTATACAAACAATATACACAATACAAAACACCCATTTATTAAACATTAATATTATAGTATATTTTCAATTATTTTATTAAAACAAAAAAATTAATAAAAATACATAAACAATCCAAAATTACACGTATCAAAGAATATATACATATATGTGTCTAATTTCATCATTCTATACATATCACGTAACTACGAAAAATCAAACTTCATATATTTATTGTCTCTGCTTGTTATGAAACTTATTTTAAGATAGTATATTGAGATTTCTAAACTTCTTTGTTGTTATAATGCATATAAATCCCCAGTAACCCATGTCATGAAAATGATGTGTGATGCTCAAGCTAAGCAGCACACTACATTGCTCATTTCTGTCACATCCACCACTCCTGTGCTTGTAAATTCATTGTTGAGCCATCAACATTAATATCTGCTAGGTGCCTAGTTCATACAAATTATGAAACAAATGTGAATGTATAGTTGTATTCGCTGCCACAAATAAAAAAGGGCAACAAGTAATCAAATTAGGGTATCATTTTGATACAAGTTATCACAAAATTTATGTTCAACACTGGCAGTTGAATGTTGGACAGTTGTGCTACTACTTTCTGTTCATTATATTTCTTTGGAACACAATTAATAATAACCAACATTTAAAACAGTCTTTGGACAACATTTATATTATATTCTAAATTTAATAAATCTACTAATTATGAATTGGTATTAACCAGGTTAAGTTAACAGATTCATATAATCAGCATTTATCTAGTTTATTTGTTGATTAAACTCTGCTTTTGGTGTCATGTAATTTTTCAAAAAATTATATACTAGTGGCCAAATTTCATTTGATGTTTTCCCTCTGAAGTCTTTCAAAATTCCTTTTTTTCTGTAGAAGTCCAATATTGGGTTAATGCTCTCAGAGTATATCTCAAGCCTCTTCATAACAGCCTCTGGCTGGTCATCAGGTCGTTGAATTAAATCTTCCCCTGTGACATCATCTTTCCCCTAGAAGACAGAAATACAGAACTGTTAACATTTAAAGGGCTTAAAACATTGCTACATTGAGCTTCTTCCTTTTCACATTAAATTCCCATTGCTTGCGCTGTTTTTGGTAAGGAAGTCAAGGTAAAAATTTAGAGACAGTAATAATAACTTCAGAATATAGATGGCTCTATTCTGGTTTGTAATGTTATGCAGCAGAAGTTTACCGTTTCAGAGGTCCTTGCTGCCTCCATCACCAGGGCAATGAGGCAGCAAGGACCTCTGAAATGTTAGCAAATTTCCACAAGACTACACAGAGCTACAACCAGGAGACAACTACCTTCATACTCACTGCCATTAGAACCTCAAATATTACTTAATAATTTCAATTTAATACCAAAGGACTTAATATAATTTATAAATAGAATAAAAATGTTTTCCATCTTAAGTGGGACCTCTGTCACCATGGTGCTGTCATTTCACTTCCCTTTCACAAACCAATGTTTTCATATAATGTAGGCTAACACTGTACCGTGACTTTTGGTGGACTGTATTCCGTGTTATATACCCTGCCACTTCGTTCATGAATCCATCTTCCTTTAACTCTCTCAACTATAATTTCAAAGGGAACTATCAGGTTTAGAGCCACATATATTGGCTCTTTGGTAAATAATTCTTCAGCTTGCTCCTTGGTTCTTGGGAAGCCTGTGAATGGACAGTGAATTACTATTTATAGATGATAATGTGTCACATCTTGTTTAAGAAACGCTATGCCTGTATGCAAGAACATGTTTCATCTGACAATTCTTTTATAACTTTCACTACTGAATTTCCTTTCTCCAGGACTATACTGAAAGAGTTGAGAGGTCATCCTCAAATTGTGCCCAACAGTTTGAATGTCTAACATGGAAAAAGATTTTTAAATTAAATATAATACACACGATATTGTTCATCAATAATTTGTCAACTGTGCAGTCTGCATTTTTATTTTCAAACTTCAGTATTATTTTCACAGTTGTTTTTAAAACAACTACAATGTAATCCTAGATACACCTGTCATGAAAAAAACAGATAAGCTGATGGATATTTTACTGAAATTGTTATCAGATATCTTAAAAATACATAACTTTTTTTTTGGCTCTTGATGCTGACCACCACATGCATTATTTTTGAAATTTAAATTCTGGTGTGACATGTTTGAAGATCAAGATAAGATCCTGTTACTGTTAAAATTATTTATTTTATAATTATCTATATTTTACTCGTAACTCATCTTTGCCAGAAATATGACATGGCAATTTGCTCCTCGATGTAGCACTTTCTGGTTTCCTTTAAATTTTCAGTCACTTTTTCTAAATATTTAAATATAAATGGCAAACTATTAAATCCACTTGCAAGCTTCTTTGTAGTATAGTAATCATGTTCTTACCTGCTGTCATAAGTTAATTTATTATTAATTATTCTTTGGTATGTAACATTTATACCAATCTCTTTCTTATTAATACTGAATCTGAATTTATATTAACAGTTTAAAAATTATGTATTAATTTAGGCCAAAATGTTTTTAACATATTATATAACAGCTTCATGGTATAGTGGCTTATTATTCACACCACAGCACAAAACTGTTAAGTAATTAAAAAGAAGTGTAACCTAAACAGAATTAAAGGAGTAAAGTTTGCAGGATGAAGTAAAAGAGTACAAGACATGAACATTAATGTAGGATATATAATCAAGGACTAGCATATATTAATATATGACTGGATGCAGCGAAAAAACAAAAGTATGAAGCAAAATTGTGAACTGAACACAATGGAAGTTGCCATAGTGATAAATGTGTCAACTGTGATCTTCTAGGCTGTGAGTTATGTAATTTCGTATGTGGAGGAACATATCATCTCCATCTTTTGGGTTAACACAGGCTCTGAAAGTAAGTTAAAGAGACCATCACTGCACAAGAATATTAAAAAGTAATAAATTGGCAAGCAATAAACAAAGTAACTCACTGAAGCAGAGTCTTCCTTCAAAAGCTAAGAGTCACTTGGCTAGTTACAAACATAATATCCATCAGCTGAGCACTAACCTCACTAGTTATCAGAAAGGTGGAGGGATCAAACTATTTATTACTCTTCCTGATAGCATTAAAAGTTTAAATCTGTTATAAAATTATTTAAGCCTGCATTGAAAGATTATCTCACTCCCACTGAATAGAAAAATTTATTTCAATTAAAAATTATTAAATACTGTATATATTTATGTAATTAGGTAGTTTATTGACCTAAGCGTTCATATTCATGCTGTATGTTCCACATCCTTTGCTCATGGTATGAAGGATCTATGGAATGTAAATAAATTTCAATTACAAGAATGCCACTTCTTTTACAGCACCGGAAGGTGGGTGAAATTAGTTCATTCCACACTATAACATCCTATATCTCTCAGATCATCTTCCATTTACACTTAAGTCTCCCAAGTGGTCAAATTTTCTGCATAACTTTCTCACTTCTCCCATGTATATCACATAACATGAACATGACCGCCTCCTTCATTTGATCACTCTAATAATATTTGGTGAACAGTACAAACTATGAAACTCAAGTAAATGTAAGGGTATTTACCATCAAGAATCCAGTTATTATTTTTTAACAGACCCAATTCATTACTGATCAGAGAAATCATAAGTTCATCTGGAACCAAATGACCTTTATTCACATACTGCTTAACTTTCAAACCAAGATCTGAAACAAAAGCAGAGAAAATATATGAAAAATGTAACTAGGAAACAGCTTAGTGCTGGTTAAGTATACACCTGCTAATAATGTAAAGTTATTACTGTATAGAATATTATCCAGGATTTTGTTTTAATAGGGTGGAGGGGGCACTTCAGAAATTGATGGAGAAACTTTAAATTTAACTGGAAATAATCACAACATTAACAAGATTAAAATTTTTAAAAATGGTTTATTTGATCAGAATATACATATCCATTCATATTGATCAGATTTAAATTTGAAGACAAATAGCAAACCCAATAAATAATCTTTTGATAAATGCCTCAGAATTTGATGTCACATTCAATTGAAAAAAACAAAAATCATAGTATTCTTAGGCAAGGACCCTATTATGAGTAAAGATTATAATAGAATAGCATTTATCTTGTTTGCTCTCACTTGTTACAGTTCTATGAAAATTATAACATGGCTTTGCTTTCTTAATGTAAATGAGGAATTGTAGCTAATTCATTAATTTTCATAAACAACGGGCTAAAACTATTACGACTGTGTTGCAATTAATTTGACCACTGAACTAAACTACCTTCTTTGCGAGTTCAGCCAAGTGGCAGGTCAGAGACGAAACCTCCAACTTACTATTGTTAAATATTTACCCGTGTTCATTGACATGTTACTTCTAAGAATATCCCCACTAGATACGTGCTTCACATCAAAGTAGTTAATAATTCTAGAAGAAATTGTGCCTTTCCCAGATGCCGGAGCACCAATTATTACAGCCTTAAAAAACTTAATCATTTCAAAATGACTGCAGTTTCAAATTATCGATTACTATACAAATTCGTTATTCCGTTCTAGAGTAATTTCAGCTCTTTTCAAATTCGCCTGCAACACTAAAACTTTCATTACATAAATGACATAACTCTCAATCTTAAAGAGCAATCATAAAAAATTCTCTCAACTTTGACCCTCGCCCCACCCCCTTCATCGCAAAACCATATTAGAGATTAGATTATGAAAACACGCGTGCAACTAATGCACGAATCAGGTGGGGACTTGACAGGTATACCAACATTACTGTTAATCTGTGATTCGTACTATGAGTAGCACATGCAACTATCAAAGGTATAAATTGCAGAAAATTCATAGAATATACACATCGATAACTCAATGCTAAACGTTGGCAACGCTTTATTCTATGACATCACATATACACTGTGCTGCCATCTATCGTGAAAGTAGTAAGATTTAAAGAACATTCAGCAATGGCAATTACCGTTCAATTTATTGAACACTACCTTCTACCCATCGCCATGTATAATCATAAAAATCTTTAGATAACAGACTTCTGGAATATTGTACCGTACAGTCCTGTAGAAACTGGCGACTTTTCAGAGGTGCATACAGTCTAATCATCATGAGTAATGCCCTGGTGATAGAGGCAGTAAGCATCTCTGAAATGTGAGTTAACAGACTACATGGTGCAACATCCCAGAAGGCAGTCATTGCCATTCACGTCACTGTGAGAATCCGAATTATTTGAATTACTGTAATTCTATAAAAGTATTCAAATTACTGAAATCAAGAGTCATTTGATACTTTTCATTTGTATTTTTATTCGAATGACAGCATAATAATAAAAATTATGATGAATTTTAGGTTGTGATGTCATGTAAGTTGAAGGTACAGTGCAACATTTCAGATTAACATACTGTCTCCATCTACAGGATTTTGCATCCCAGAAAATCAACATCACCAACCTCACAATAAAATACAAGCACATAAATAGCACAGAAAGTGAAATGGTACTTTGTTGTAAGCTAACTACTGCAAGGAGTTTTATAGAACTTTAGTCAACATGTGTAGGATCTTAAAACTTTGCATACTGTGCACTGTATTGATATAAAAAATCACGAATACAAACAAAAACTGTTTACACTTTGAAAAGACACTTAGTGCCAAATGTGTATTGACCTCAAGAGGTCATCATCAGTGGCAAACAAATTAATTCATATTAAATAATACAATTCATAAGGCAGTGGTTTGTTATAAAGCATAAAAGGTAACACTTTATGCAATACCATACTACGTTATTTGCACAAGAGTTGGTGGATTATCTAAATTGAGCTACTTAGCTTTAAGTCCACTGCCCAAGTCAAGGTTTCTGTTGTTGGTCTACAGTGAGCCATGGTTGTGCTGTCTGTGTCTGTGAACTTCAACGTTGTGTGGGTATTACGTGAAATCTTTTATGCTTAATAACAAACCAATGTCTTATGAATTGTATGATTTAATATGAATTAATTTGTTTGCCACTGACTATGACCTCTTGCGTCAAAATGCATTTGGCACTAAGTGTCTTTTCAAAGTGTATACAGTTTTTGTACATATGCATGATTTTATATAACTTGTATAGGAGACTGGTGTAGAAAAGCCTACTCAAGATAAATCATTGTGTACCTGTACCACACATATATATAAATTGTAATTTATTAAGTTTAACCCCGCTGTTAAAATTAATACAGTAACAATAAACATTCCTAAAGATATAATAATGTGATCAGTTTTGTTGAATATTCACACACATCTTGCAGTACCAAATCATTGAGGCATTACTGAAACTCGTAAGTCCATGGCGGAGGTAAAGAATTAATTGACTTAACCACTTTATCATACAGATCTCCATAATTATCATGTCTTTTCAACAGAACCATCAGTGAACCTCGTTTCATACCCAGCGCTGATCCCAAAACCTGGCGTGAGTTAACATACACATAAGGGATATCAAGCTCCTCACACACTCCCGGAAGGTGGCACATTACTTCTATTGGTGTAACATCTCCAGCAAAAACAACAAGACTGAAAATAATAACCACACATTACATCATGATTTTTAAGAATTCAACACACATTTTTACAATCAGGAACTTTTCCAGAGATATGCAATATGTGACATGGAAGCAGTTGTTCCTTTTATAAAAGAAATAAAAATAATGACTAATGGGGAGTAAGATAAGGATCAACTTCATAATTTAATTTAAATTTACTAGTTTATTATTTGTGAAAAAGTATACAGTAAGGTATGTTCCCCCAAAAGTTGTGCTTACAATTCTTCTCAACAAATTCTTTAATAATTTATTCTTCCAATTCTGCACAGAAACATGGACATACTATATTTTCCCATGTATTCATCACTTTTACATGCATTTAGTCCACTGAAAAATAACAGTATATATTCCTGTACGGCAGAAGCAGTCTTACGTCACACAACCATCTCTTTACACCTGTCTGCTTGGAGTTTCCATTGTCAAATCCCTTTATACACAACGTATTCTTTTAATGGACCAAACAGATGAATGTCCATGACAGTGCTAGATCCAAGCTAAGAGAGAGTGTGGCAGTACAGCCTAACTCAACTTCAAGATTTCTTCTGGTGTTCCAACAGCCTGTGAATGGTATGCCAAAGACACTGAATAAACTATAGGCCACATTTGTAGGATACGCTTGGAGTTTTCCAATGAAAATATTCTTCTCTAACTGATTAATGCAAAACCCACACAAACCACCCAACACAGAAGAAATCACAATGTTGGAATACAACGTACTGTCACATCCATCATATAAACATATAACCTGGATCTAGTGCCCTAGAGTTTCATTTATCTGGTCTTTTAAACAATGCATTGTTGGGCAGCAACTCAATGACTAGTCTATGACACCTGTAAATAAGAGACTGCGATGCAACTTCTAAAATTCAGACATACATGCTCCTATTCAGTACTTTTATTTTCCGTCGTTACACAAGCTTATTGTTAAAATCATATAAAATTTCACATAAAATTGTTACATTTTAAATTGACGACATGTTTCGATATACAATTCTATCATCGTCAGGTTTTTATGTTATTTGTTTTAAATGTTTTTGTTATATAACAAAAACATTTAAAACAAATAACATAAAAA